CCATTGATGATAGACTGGACAGGGAAAATGTGACACATATACACCATGGAATACTATGCAGCCATCAAAAACGATGAGTTTGTGTCCTTTGTAGGGACATGGATGAACCTGGAAACCATCATTCTCAGCAAACTGACATAAGAACAGAAAATCAAACACTGCATGTTCTCACTCATAGGTGGGTGTTGAACAATGAGAACACATGGACACAGGATGGAAGCATCACATACTGAGGTCTGTGGGTGGGGGGAACTAGGGAAGGGACAGTGGGGGGTGGGGAGTTGGGGAGGGATAACATGGGGAGAAATGCCAGATATAGGTAATGGGGCTGGACACAGCAAACCACATTGCCATGTATGTATCTATGCAACAATCTTGCATGTTCTTCACATGTACCCCAAAACCTCAAATGCAATAAAATAAATTAAAAAATCATTTCTACTACCTATGTGGTAGGCTGTTTCCAACATTGGGCATTCTCCCCCAACACTCAAGCCAAGTTAATATGAATTATTGATTCTTTGGGTTACCTACACCTTCAGAATCTGATGAAAACTATGAACTGTTTTGCCTGCTACTCCCATATATATTTATATTTATATCCATGTCCCTCTATACCAAATTGCACATATTATTATAAGTGTTAAAGACTCTCCGAAGTTTATGATGCATCCCAGATTAATAACATCTGCAGTAAGTATTCATCTATACTTATTCTAGGATATTTACATTTTACATTTTTAGCTCTTTAATTCAATAGAAATTTATTTTGATGACTATTTATAATATATTCCTAAAAATGTACAATTTTTGTCCCTCTCCCATAAATATGTTATTTACATACATAGAGAAACAGACAGAAAGCTACAGATACAGCAAAATGTTTCAATACTACGGTGGTTAAATTGAGTGACTCTTTGTCTATTCTTCTCTGCTTTTCTTCTTTTTTTTTTTACACCACCACTTGTCAGCAGAGCTTTTTTTAATTTAAATTATCCACAATGAATATATTTCACTTTTGTAATAAGAAACAGATTAATTTCCTTCAGAAGGAAAGGCGGTGACAATGGTTTGGTTGGTTACAGAGCTATAGGGAATAAGAGTTAGGAGAGTTTCTCTTCCTTTGTGGGTACAGATGATGAGGGGGTCGTGGAGAGTGAAGTTTGAACATCAACTGTTTGCACTGCTGCACCAGGGCAGGCTGGAATCAGAGGCTGTCTGGGCCAATCTCACTGCCTGAACACAGGCGCCTCAGTGTGAACCGGGCCTGTGATGGGCCGATACTGCTCATTCCTGGAACAAGGGCCCTGTGTCTTCCACTGTCCAACACAAAGGACAGAGGTCCCCTGTTTACTTTGGATTAGAAGTGAAGGACAGCAACAACATTTGAGGTTTTCCTCTTTTCAGTTTCTTACAAAAAAACAAGTTGTAGTAAGTCAGCGATTTTTTTTGGCATCTTCCATGAATAAAATCAATCAGACTAGATTGCTGAAGGAGTCTTAAAGAGCTTCCCTTGTTTACTATGTTTTTTAGATTTATGGCTTAAAGCTTAAGAAGTAGCAGTGACTGACTGGGCCTCTGAATTGTCCATTCATTTCTGAAGAAGTGGGGCATTCCCAATTCCTTGGTCAGCTGGGCCAAGTGACTTTTGATCTTTTGCAATAAGCTCATTCTAGGCTGGAAGTACTCACATAACTATGGAAACACTCTTCCTCTCTTTCATCCAACCTCCCACACTTCAAAATACTCATTTCTTTTTAGATGCTCATTCAAAACCTGCCTCAATTAGACCTGCCAAGGCATAGGGGTTTTTATCAGACATAGAGGTCTTTGAATCATAAAAGTGTAGGTGGTCCCACATCGAAAGACTGTGCCTGAGACTATAGGAAATAAGACCTTGAATACCACGGTGGCAAGGTGGAAACTGCGTGGACTTTTGTGATGTTTGGACCCAAATCTTAGCTCCAGCACTAATGGCTAAGAACAACTTTTTGAACGTTTCTGATTGCCAATTTCCTTACCTGTAAAATGGGGGATATGATAATACCCAGCACACAGAGTCATTATGAAGATCAAATGTGATGATGTGTGTGGAACGGTGTAAGTCACAGCCTGGCACATGCAAACCCCTCGATGCACAGTGGCTGCCATCACTGCTGCGACTTGCAACTGTTGTCACCACACACAGAATAGGCGGTTACAGCATTTGCCCAGTCCAGGAAGACGGGGCTAACCTGGTGTGTGTATAGGACTAGAAAAGTAGTTTGCCAGGACAATAATTTTCTGGTACTGGCTTATTGTTGGGTAACTCGCCTATTATCAGTAATTACCAAAGGAAGTGGATATGGAAATCTTGGGGAAGGGCTTCTGCACTCCATATCTGCCCTTCTCTTCCAGTACTGTGAGACTGAGAACGCACATCTGTGATGAGAGATGCCCCCGACAGGGATGTGATGTGCACATGAATGATACGGAAAGGGGAAAGGGGAACCTGCTAATTTTCATCCATTTTGTCATCTTCTGCCCTGTTAACTCTAACCCATTACTAACATCATCGGGGCAAATATCCAAAGTGACATTTTCTTGTTGTATCCCAGATCCTAAGGGTTCCTCAGTGTGACGGTTAATCTTATATATCAACTTGATGGGGCTAAGGGATGCCCAGATAGCTGTGTGTATCTGTGAGGGTGTTTCTGGAAGAGATTAGCCTTTGAATCGGTAGACAGAGTAAAAATCTGTCCTCATCAATAAAAGTGAGTATCACCCTACCCAACAGGCCTGAATAGTATTAAAAGGTGGAGGAAGGGCAAATTTGCTTCTGACTGAGCTGAGTCATCTGTCTTCTTCTGGTGTTGGACATAGCATTCCTGGTTCTTGGGTCCCCAGACATGAATGGGGGCTTATACCATTGGCCCTCAGTTCTTGGATCTTTGAACTGAGACTGGGACTTACAACCGTGGCTCCCTGGTTCTCAGCACTTAAGGCTTAGACTGGAACTACACCACTGGCTTAGCTGGGATGGCAGATCTGGGACTTCTTAGCCTCAGTAATGGTGGGAGCCAAGCCCTCCTAATTAATCTCTTTCTCGGTATCTCCATAGCCCCTATTGTTCTGTTTCTCTGGAGAACTTTGAGTCATATACTCAGTCAGCCCTTTTGGGGAAGCTATTGACAGCTGAATCTCCAAAGATCTGACACAAGGAATGGAATCACAAGCACCATGGCAGGGCCTTCCCACTTCTTTTCATACCAAGTTTCTATTGGCCAGCAGGAATGCTGAAAGATGAAGTGTAGTAGATTCTCATTTAATGTCATTGATAGGTTCTTGGAAACTGCAACCTTAAGAGAGATGACTTATAACAAAACCAATTTACCATAGGCTAACTGATATAAACAAGAGTTAAGTTCTCACGGCATATTTCTGGTTACAAAAACATCACCAAACTTCTGAATAAAGACCAAAACACTTCTAGTATTAAACATTGAAATAAGTGTGAGCGATATTTACAGTTAAGAAAGATGAATAAAAACAAGTAAGATTATTATTTACCCACTTATTCCAGTTCAGTGGGGCAGGGGTGGCTGGAACCTATCCTGGCAGCTCAGAGCACCAGGCGGGAACCAGACCTGGACAGGACCCCAGCCACCGTAGGGCGCTCATGCATACACCTGCACTCACCCACTGAGGCCCTGTAGACACAACAAGGAACCTGACATGAACGTCTTTGGGATGTGGGAAGGAACTGGAGAGCCTGGAGAAAGTGTGCAGACTCCACTCAGACAGTAGCCCCAGCCAGGAATTGATTTTTTTTCTCATCAACATTATAACAAAATGACAGTGAAGAAAACATTATTTGAGTACCCACTGTGAGCCAACAGATTTTACGATATAGCCAACATCACACGAAGAAAATTCCCTAAACTTAAGTCATTTCTTTATATATCCCATTTTCTGAGTTCCAGTGAAAACAAGCACTTACTCCCCCACAGGCAGATGAGTGATGTTGAGAGCAGAAGTGACTGCTCTGAGAAACTGTCAGAAAACCAGAGTCAGTAAAGTTAGTAACTGATGTGGAGATTCATGCTTGGGGCAGCAGCTGTTTGTTGGGCTCAACGCTCTTTACAACCTCCTGCTGCTTCCTTGCTCTGGGCTGCGTCATCTCTCTCCTTTCCGGCCCACTTGGCCTCACTCTCTTACCGCCTTTTCTTTTCCCTCTTGTCCTCTCTCTTTTCCTATTTCTCACTTTCTCTCTCTGTTTACCAGCAATAGGAGAAACTAAGTGCCCATAAGATTTTTTATTTAATGTCAACGTCCTTGTTTAAAAGTTTTTTTTTTTTTTTTTTTTTTTTTGAGATGGAATCTCGCTCTGTTGCCCAGGCTGGAGTGCAGTGGCACGATCTTGGCTCACTGAAACATCTGCTTCCTGGGTTCAAGCGATTCTCCTGTCTCAGCCTCCTGAGTAGCTGGGATTACAGGCATGCGCCACCACACCTGGCTAATTTTTGTATTTTTAGTAGAGACAGGGTTTCACCATATTGGCCAGGATGGTCTTGAACTCCTTCCTGACTTCCTGATCTGCCTGACTCAGCCTCCCAAAGTGCTGGAATTACAGGCGTGAGCCACTGCACCCGGCCTATTTTAAGAAGTCTTTATGTTGCCATTTTTTCTTGTTTTAATTAAAGACCTAAATTTAGTTGACCTTTATTCAGATGTAATTCATTTAACTTTTTCTCCATTGCATGTGTATGTATTTTAAATTAACAACAATCCTTTGACTCCTATCCTGATCTGAAAGGCATTTTATTCTGCCATTTTATTTCTTACTGTTAGATAACTGGACCTCTAGTGTGTGTGTGTGTGTGTGTGTGTGTGTGTGTGTGTGTGTGTTGTGGGGGGGTGCGTGTGTTTTCTTGCAAGCATTTGTATAAACTTGACAATGTATATTTGCAAATATAGTAGTAAGTAACTCAGCATAATCCAGTTCTTGTCCCTTGACACAGCCTCCACCTATGCTCTGAAACTGCAACCCAGATCTGAGAAAACTGTGTCTACCTGGTCCTTGACTTAGATATCACTAAAGATCTGGCCAGTAGTCCTCTTCCTGATGCCAGACACAAGTCAGGTGAGTAACCTGCTTCTCCAGTTGAGCAGGACCTTGGGATTCCCCTGGATGAGACTCCTGGGTGAGATAGGTCCCCTGATATTACTGTTGGATCACACTGAATGAGATAACCAAAATTTCCTTCTCACGGTGCCACTTACGAAGGGCTTCTGAATAATTATCTGTTTGATCCTTACACCAACCCTGGGAGGTGAAGCTGCTAATGTCATCCCAATTTAAAGATATGAAAACTGAGACAAAAACGAGGTAACTTGTCTAGGGTCATACAGCCAGGAAATGTCAGCATGAGAATTGGAACCCTGGCCTTCTGAACTGCAGATCCAGGGCCTGGCACAGAGTGGACCCAGGAAACGTTTCTTCCTCCCATCACACTTGCCATGAGCTAAAGAAAAGTCAGCACTTCTGTCTTGTAGGACCAGCTCTCCAGAGAAGGACATCCCCACCACCAGGACCCTTGCAAAGAGGAATGAAAGACCCAGTCCTGTTGTGATGTTCATTAGTCAGATCTTGGAGCTCTCCTGGCCTCTTTGGATATCCCCTGTCAGCTCAACTGATGAGACTTTATGTACCACTGCATGAAAAACAAAAGGGAATCTCTTATTTCTCACACGGGATAACAGCTGATAGTCATTACCACAATATAATAGACATGTTAGTGGCCAGGTTCATGTAAGGACTAAGCAGCCCCATGAATCACGTAAGACTGGCTACTCCTGGGACGCTCCTCTCTGGTTTTCTAGGTAGCAGAGAGGGAAAGCTAAATAGTAGTTTCTAATAACAACTGGGAAGGCTTTTTCTTTTTAAATAACAGTGGAGTTGGCATAAAGCTTGGAACCAAGTGTAGAGAAGGTAAAGTATACGTAGAAGGGCTGTGACGAACATAAAACTTGGCTGCGTTCTTTGTGAAGGCTCAAACTTGGGAAGGTTAAATACCAAACTTTTTTCATTTGTTCTGTATTTTGATTCTGAAAAGAAAGCTGACTTTGCCCATTTATGATTTTTAAATCTTGGGGACAAGGAGAAGAAAGGGACAATTTTTAAAAAACTGTTTGAAAACATTACGGCTGAAAGAAGCTACGTAGGAGCTGGGTAGAGAACGTAGTGACTAAGAGAACAGGGAATGACCAGCATGCCCCCTGTGGGAGGGGCTCTACCCGTGCCCCTTTTCACATACGGGAATCTTGACACCAAACATGTTCTCACACGCATGGTGGTGTGAATGATTTGAAGGAATTCACAGTTAGTACAAAGAAGAATCTGGAACATGTTTAATGATTTATCCCTGGAGATCATAATAAACAATGTAAAACCTGGGAGACATCTCTGAATTCCCTGGCTCTTGCAGAATTCAGCTGGGCAGTAAGAACCAGTACTGTGCCCTTGGGAATGTCTCTAGAAGTTCTAGGAAGATAAGAGATATGTAGACATGAGACTTGGTTGAGGCGACCCTACTCACCAGCTATGCTCCCAATCAAAATGCCATCCTTCTAATTCTATTAGAATTATTCCCACACTTACATTCTCAGAAGTGCATGCATGTGCACGTGTGCGTGTATGCGCGTGCGCGCGCACGCGCACACACACACACACACACACACACACACAAAATCTTCCATGCTGCTAAGTTTAAATCATTCCTGTTAACTCTTAGTCACCCATAAGGACTCAACCAAAACCTCACCTTTTCAGGGACCCCTTGATTCCTCAAATATGGTCAGGGCCACCCATGAACTCTGATACTGCCCTATAGACCTCCCAGTGGCACTCAGCATTTTCCTTTGTCCCCATCTCAGTGTGTTTAGTCTGATCCACAATACAGATATGGATGTCCTTCCACCCCAGTATAGCTCTCACTAGATTCTCGGCCTTGCAAGCATCCTGGGGTGTTCAGTGGAAGGATCCCCAGAAGGATGTGGAAATTGTGTGCCTCCTGGGTACAAGAGGGAGCCAAGCTGGGCATTGGAACCACGGGAATTGGGCTTAGAGAATAATGTTGCTGATTCTGTGAGCTCAACCTCATGGCACCATCTTCCCTGCAGCGATAGGGCCTCTGATGGAGAGCTGCTAAGGTGCTGTGGAGTCCAGGCACTAAGCCTGTGAACTTGGGTCCCTCAATGGGGGGTTGCCATAGTCAAGCATAGAAAGAGGGGCTCCTCCACAGAGGCCAGCCACTGTGGGAGCCACCCAGCCTAAGGAATAGGGCTCTACCTCATTTTCCTGGATGACATCAGCCCAAGGATAGGAGGGATCACCGTATGAACATCAAAGGCCTGGGCTTCTCAAGCCAGATTTAAAGGGTCTTTTCTTTCATGTCTTTTCTTTCTTTATAACTATTATGCCCATACCACAACTATAATTACATAAGGACTTCCAAAATTGTTGGTTTTCATGTCTATCTTCCTCTGTTAGAAGTGTATATACCTAGCACAAAGTCCAGAAGGTGCTTGATTCTCAATCAATATTCATTCAATGAATGAGTGAACTAATCTTTGAAATATCCTTAAATCTCTCAATAATCTCAAATCCTTCTGTTGGAATCTTTGACCAAAACAAAATCATAAAATCACCACCACCCCACACGTCTTTGAGAACCAGTCTGTGTTAGCCTTGCAAGTCTGAAAGCATAGGCATTTTTTGTTTTGTTTTTAAATTTTTTTTTCCTCACAGTGTCATTCTCCGGATATGACAGCATAGTTTTTGAAAAACAGGTTGTTGTTGTTTTTTAAAAAAAGTGAAGACAACATCAAGGAGTCGGCCTCATACCTATGGATTAGATTTCTTAATCAAGCGCTCACCCTGCACCTCTGGTGGTCCTACCAGAGCATCCTTTTCTCTTGTGGTTTTCCACATTTAACTGCCTGATCAAATGGTTTGACAAGAATAAACTCAGGAAGCAGAATAAGAAATGAGCAGCTGAGACTGGAGTATTCACTGTGCAAAGAACATACCACAAGGAGACCTGCACTCCAGGGGGTCTCGGCTGATGGGGAAGATGCCAGCGCAGTGTCCTATGGTCAGAAAAGCTGACCTGGCAAGAGGGGACGGGGGAGGAGAGGCAGGAAAGGGGATCCCTTCAGGCTGAAATCAATGCAGTGATATCTGATATATAGAAAAAAACAGGTCTTATGTGACTGTCATTACAAATAACAAAATAATAGTATTCTCTAGTGTTTGGATTCTATTTTTTTATGTCATTTTGCTCAACCAAAAACAATCCTATTTTGCAGATTTCTGGCACGTTGCCTCTTCCCCTAATGACAGATCTAAATGCACATATAAAAATAGGTGGCCACAAAGAAATAACTTCTGACTTTAAATGTTGTTTGGCTAGAAATGTCTCGGGCAGCCTCTCCCAACTTTTGTATGATATCTTTGAAAATAAAGAAAAAGACAAGAACTCAAAACGACAAGCACCAGAAACTTTGACACAATCATGACTTACCCAGATTCTTGGAAGCATTGTTGTTAATTATAAGGCAAGAAACATAGGATTGATACAATCCAAATTACGCCTCATGTAATAGAGGTCAATGGGAAGCCAGCTGCCCCTACTTTCTTAGAGACACAGAGATTCAAGGTCTGTATCAACCACAACATTAAGCGGGCACCCATGTGCCATGGAAGTGCTGCTTCTTGCGGATGCCAGTCCTACATCTATTTGGAGATAGCACCTCCTAGGAAATAACTGGCCAGGAAGTGTGTGTATATGTGGGGGAGGGGTAGGAAGAAGGAGAACCAGCAATTTGTTCTGTATCTTGGGAGGTGTAACTTTAACTTTACAAGCTAAACACTACAGGCAAGGGTGGAGATAGGAAGATCCCTAATAGGCAGGGCACTCTATCAATTGCAGTTTTGCAGGTGACTCTATGGGTCACAAGAATACAGAACCAGATGGGGAAATGTGCTACCTCAGTAGAATGGAACTGTTATTTGGTACATGCCTACTAGAAACTGAAAATTGGTCTGCACTCATGCATGTCAGTTTGCACTCCAGGTCTGAAAAGGGGATGCGTATGTATAAAATTCAATAGAATATACAAATAATTAGTATTAATAAGTAACCTTAGGAAGGATGCAGAATACAAGGTCAATTAATTTCTATGTACTAGGAATAAATAATTTTAAATAAAGTAAAAATACCATATACAACATAAAATCATCAAATATTAAGGAATAAATACAACAGAATATGTTTAAGATCTCTATATTGAAAACTACAGGACACTGAAGGGAAAATGTTTAAAAGACCAAAATAAATGGAGAAATAGACCATGTTTATGGATCAAAACATACCATATTGTTAAGATGTCAATCCTCACTAAATTCTATTGGGATCCCAATCCAAATCCCAAATATTATTCTACGGTATGGCTTTGCCACTGCCCCATCAATAGAAATTTACTTTTTCTCTTATTGAATCTAGATAGGCTTGTATGCTGGATGGCTTCCTCAGCAGGTGATAAATGGCAATGCAGCTTCAGCCTGGATTACAGGAATAGTCATTGTTTTAGACTTCAACTGTCATGCAAGCAGTCCAGCTGAACTGAGGCACCATGATGTGAGGAAGCCCAAAGTCAGCCTATCTGGGGGGAGGGCATGGAGAGGTCCCAAGACTACATGGAAAGAAGCTGATATGAACGCCTGGCCAGCCTCCAGCTGTCCCTTGATGTTCCAGCTCCAGCTGTCCTCCAACTGAAATTGCATGAGAGACTCTGGAAGCATAGAGCTAAGCCCTTCCCAAATTTTTTCCCACAGAAACCCTGAGAAATAATACATGACTGTTGTTTTCTATCACTGTTTTGAAATTGGTTGTTAGGCAGCAAGAGCAGCCAGAACAGGGAGCTTGGAGTACACGGAAGTTTCTTAATCAGGATACAAACAGAGATAACCACAAGCTTTTAAAAATGATATATTGAATTTTGTTAAAATTAAGAACTTCAGTTTATCAGAAGATACTACTTATCAGAAGAGAGAGAGAAGGTGAGTAACAAAATGGGAGAAATTTTCACAAAACATATCTGACAAAAGGACTTGTATACAGAATGTAAAAGAACGCCAAAAAACTAAGAAGAAAAAGACAACAAACAACCCAATAAAAATGTTCACAAAACCCTTAGTCACTTTATAAAAGAGAATGTCTAAATAGCTAACAAGCAAATATCAAGTTTTCAATATTATTATTCACCAAAAAATAGGAATTGAAACCACAATGAGATACCGCCACGCACTCATCAGAATGGCTAAAATCAAAACAAACTAGACTAAACATTGGCAGTGATGTGGAGAAATTGGAACCTCTATTTACGGCGGGTGGTAGTGTGAAACAGCATGACCAATTTGGAAAACTGTTTGGCAATATCCATTAAAGCTAAATATAGTTCTACTTTCTGACCCAGAAATTTCACTGCTAGGTATATACCCATTAGAAAAGAGTTCATATGTTCACCAAAAGGCATATACAACAATGTTCATAGTGCCTTAATGAATAACATCCCCAAACTGGAAACAATGAAAATCTTCATAAACAGAAGAATGGGCAATAAATTATAGTATATTTACACAACAGAATACTCAGCAATAGGCCAGGCGCAGTGGCTCACACCTGTAATCCCAGCACTTTGGGAGGCCAAGGTGGGCGGATCATGAGTTTAGGAGTTCAAAACCATCCTGGTCAACATGGTGAACCCCTGTCTCTACTAAAAATACAAAACTTAGCTGGATGTGGTGGTGGGCACCTGTAATCCTAGCTACTGGGAAGGCTGAGGCAGGAGAATCACTTGAACTTGGGAGGCAGAGGTTGCAGTGAGCCGAGATTGTGCCACTGCACTCCAGCCTGGGCAACAAGAGTGAAACTCTGTCTCAAAAAAGAAAAAAGAAAAAAAAGAATACTCAGCAATAAAAATAACAAACTACTGATACCGCAAAAGCATGGATGAAGGTCCCACACAGTACACTGAGCAAAATAAATGGGCATGAAAGAATGCATACTGTATGTTTCCATTCATAGTAGTCACCCCTTATCCGTGGTTTTGCTTTCTGCGGTTTAGGAGCCAGTGGTCAAACTCAGCCCAAAAATAGGTGAGTAGAGTACAATAAGATATTTTGAGAGAGATGGGGGAAGGGAGGGAGAGAGAGAGAGAGAGACCATATTCACATAACTTTTATTACAGTGTATTATTGTTCTATTTTACTATTATTGTTAATCTCTTACTATGCCTAATTTATAAATTAAACTTTATCATAGGTATGTAAGTACAGGAAAAAAAAGTATTATCGATAAAGTTTGGTATTATCTGCAGTTTCAGGCATCTACTGGGGGTCTTGTAACACATACCACATATCAGGGACTAC